AGTTTAAAGAAAATTACTAAACTACTATAGTAAGACTCATATGCGGGGGGGGGGGGATGCTACTCTCTTTTGAAGTTCTGGGATCAAGGTATTCCTGCACACCAATTGTTACAGCTTATAGTTACTTTTGAAAAATGTCACACTTAAATACTATAGCTGAGTAGGGACAGTGGCTTATCATTACCCAGATTGAAGTTTGTACAATGTAACTATACTATTGCAAGCTTTCTGGAAGAAAACACTACTGTTTTAATAACTGCCACTTAGTATATACTGTGTAAAAGTATATTCAGTCAGAGAAGATGCAACTCAAAAGATGGAAAATGACACTTAAAAACAAAATCTCAGGGTGGGAGGGACAGCTCAGCATTAAGAGCACTTGTTGCCTTGCAAAGAACACAGGTTCAGTTCCCAGCAACCACATGAGGGTTCACAAGCATTGGTAACTCAAGTTCCAGGGCGTAAGACTGAAGTATCCTCATAATATGACCAATGTATACAACCACAGGACTAAATGCTAACATTAAAATGCCAAGGCTATGCTCTCAGGGTTCGTTTCTATGCTCATTACTGGATCTAATGTGTTACACATATTCTCTGTACAGGCAAGTTTCCAAAAAAAATAAAAAAATAAAAAAAACTGCCAAGAAAAGCAGTATATTAAATGCTAAACTTCATAGAAGTAAGCCAGATGCCTAAATGCCTAAGTGGCTAAAATTTTCTTTACATAACTGTTCTAATCAATTCACATTTTAGTGAAAATAATCTTATATTGCAAACAGCACAGCACCCTCTGGTGTATCCATTATAAGATATATAAAATTCCCACAAGTAAAAGGATAAAATCATAAATAAAAAATAAACCTTAGCGATCAACAGGGTGATACTTTCTGAATTTCTTCAGGTACACATACTTAACATGTTTAAATAAAAGAAAATAAATTATCACTATAAAGTTTGTAGTAATTGTGGTCAGAAAATTTGTTTTAGTTTTAAAATATTGAACCAACCAAAATAACACATTTTTCCAATTATATAACTTAAATTAAGATAATGCTATCAATACAATTCTTGAAGGAATGGCAAAATGTTAATGGTTATGTAAGCTAAATTTCATTTTACTCAAACCCACCTGTTTTTTGCTATAGGTAAATTTGACTTGAATATATAAACTGTTGCTATATATTTTTCTGAATTCAAAGTCAGTTTATCATTATTTATAAGGATGGGTAGATGGGTGTTAAGCAAATAAATCTACAATTTCCACAGTTTGAAAATATAGTAATACAAATAAAAGCTAGTGAGTTCGGTTACAAATCTAGAGCACTTCAAAGACATGTAGTGCTCAATTTTTACATATAAAAGAACCCTCTCCCTGTGAAAATAATTAACTAAGAGATGATATAACAAACTCCACATGAGGCCACCTGCTTTGGACAGCCCTTTGTGGCCCACTGCAGTTCCACAACAATGCAGGAAAAAGTGAGACTGCCACCTGCTTACAGCAGCCATCTGCCTCTAACAAGTTACATTTAGTCAAATCCACTTCATCCTGGTTTCCAAACTAAGGGAACACTATGCACCTGTGAACAGAAAAGAATTTAACACCTATTTGGTGATGACAACTGGGAATACATACCACATACCTCAAGATTTAAAGAGCTAAGGCAAATAATTCAGTAAGGAAAATTATTTTTAATGTAACTGCAAGTGAATAAAGGATCTTTAGCCAAATGCTCAGCATAAAAACAAATTAGCAAACTTCATAATGCAAAACTTGACTTATTTCTTATTCTCATTTCTTGTCATATATTCTCATTATGAGGATCACAAAGTCACAGTGCTACTAGAGTATTCAGAAAAAAAAATTAACTATTCCCACATATCTGTTACTATGATCCATCCTTTTAAGCATGTATGACCTGAAAATTTTTACTTTTAAGCCTTAAAAAAAAGTGCCCCAATTAGAGTTTTTGTTGTTGTTGTTGTTGTTTTTAAAAAAAAAAAAAGTTATTTGAGTAAAGTTAAAGAATATCTCACTATCTCACTTATAAAGTTTGTGAGTACCTCCATAGACTACAAGAGTATTTGAATACTGGATTAAAAATACAGTATTTTAGAAATTAGGCGTAAATACCTCATGCCAAGAAAGCGGTGTGAAATGATAGCAAGTTTCTAGGAGTGCACTGATTTATTAGACATATAGAAATGTACTATGCCTATTCCCTATACGATTTCACAGGACTGTGTAATAGATAAAGTTTAATTTAAAAAAACTGAGAGAGACATCATGGCACACTCTGAATCACAAATACTCAAGCTACTCAAAATGTTACTATTTAATATGTTTAGTCTCAAAGGATGATCATTTTCACAGATTTGTTAGTCTAAAAAACTGAAAACAAAGAATGCCAATGCATAGTATACTCCCTCCTAGGAAAATACTGTGGAAAAAAATTGAACTAAATGGTATTTATTTAAAGATCAATTATTAAATTCTAAGTTAATCAATCCATAAAACTAATTTTATCTTATCAGAAGCCAAAGGATCTCTAATATCAACTCTCAGAACACAAAGAGTTGTTTCAAATGGACAGGCTATTTAATATAATCCAATGTCACATTCACTTTCAAATCAACTTGTGAACAGGAAAAAAAAACTAAGTCTGGAGAAAGCTGACACATACTTGATGAGTGAAATGTCTCTGAAACATTCTTGGACATTGCAAATAAAAATATTAAGCAAAGACATTTTAGCATATGCAATCTATTTAGCTGAAACTTATATAAATGGCATCAGATCTAAAACTGTCCCAAGACAGCAAGAGTCTTTTTATGTTCAGACCCAGGAGCTTCACCATCCAAAAGTGCTCAGGCATTTGACACTCATCTGAACAGGAGAGGGGAAAAAAGGAAAAAGAAGAAAAGGAAAGGAAAAAAAATACAAGTTAGTATTTGAGATGTGCATGGAAGACAGGTTGGGGAAGGGATGAGTAACTATTGAGAGATCCAAACAGACTTCTTTCATAATCGAATATCACCTTCATTTAAAATAACAATCATACGGAAATGAATTAAAAAGTACATTTTTTTCAACCACCCCAACTCTTATTTTACAAAATATTAGCCTTAATGGCATTATAATTACCCAAACTCTTCATTGACAATCTCAAGAATAATTAATACTGTCACATTATTCACAGGCTTCTCTGTCAGTTAAATCAATAAATGTTTGCTGTTAAAAAAGATTATTTAAATTAGCACTTTAAAAATCTGAATTGGAAATTTCATATGTGCAACTATAATAGTACATTTTATTTGTTTTAGCCCATAGTCATTATCAAATTTTTGTTGTTGTTGATAAACTATTGATTGTTAGGCTGAAAATGAGCAAAATTAAAGGCTCTGTAAAACCCGGTTAGCTTCAATCAAGATGACACTACTTAAGAACTGATAAGTATTCAGATCTACAGGGGGCAACTATTTTCTCCAAAGAAATACTTTAAAAGGAAGTTTTTTCTTCTGAGCAGGTTTAAATCGTTGACCAAAGAAAACCAGAAAGTCAACAAAAAGAATATGTTAAGTACATACATGCCTAGATCTTAACAGCCACAAAGAAAGTGAAATATACACACGTTTCAAGTTGAGAAGCTTCATACATTCTTTATGAACAACTTGACTTCAATTTCAACTCTCCAAGGGAAAGGAACAGAGATGAAGATGGGAGAAAAAAAAAACTCTCAAAGTATCATAACTGTCACAAACAGCGTTGTGAACTGAGTTCTCACAAAGCTTCCTTGTGTCCCTTCCCTGTGCATCACAGACAAAGTCTCAAAACCACAATGAAAATGGTTAACACTCTCCTGTGGGGAGGGAGGTGCATCAAAGTGAAACAGAACCTCAGGACTACCCCTCCCATCTCCACATGAAGGATAAAGCGCTGTCAGGAACCACTAACCCAAGTAGCACAGATGCCCTGCATCCGGTTTAAATCACAAGCGCGCGCACACACGCACACACGCGCACACACACACACACACACACACACGCCGAAAAGGAAAGGGAAGGGGGAGAAAGAGAGAGAGAGAGAGAGAGAGAGAGAGAGAGAGAGAGAGAGAG